CCATAAGACTGTCAGCTGATTTCTCAAAAGAAACTTTGCAGGCCAGAAAGGAGTGGTAAGAAATATTCAGACTGATGAAAAGCAAGAACCTACAACCAAGATCGCTCTATCCTGCAAAGCTGTCATACAAAGAGTTTCCCAAACAAGGAAAGCTAAAGGAATTCATCACCACCAAACCATTATTATATGAAATGTTGAAGGGTCTTCTTGAAAAAAAGATAAAAAATATGAACAAACAAAATGGCAATGAATACATTATCTGTTGACAATTGAATCTACAAACAAAATGAACAAGCAGAACAGAAACATTCTGATAGATACAGAGAAATTTTGTTGGTTGCCAGATGGGAGGGGGTTGGAGGAATGGGTGAAAAAGGTGAAGGGATTGAGAAGTACAAATTGGTTGTTAGACTGACAAACCTCAAAAGGAAGGGGGGTTGGGGGTGGGAAGAAATAATCCAAAGAATTTATATTGCCCTGGCTGGTTTGGCTCAGCAGTTAGAGCATCGGCCTGCAGTCCAGAGAGACCCGGGTATGGTTTCCATTAAGGACACGTACCTCAGTTGCAGTTTATCCCCAGCCCTGGTTGGGTCGTGCGGGTGGCAACCACTCAATGTATCCCTTTCATGTCCATGTTTGTTTCTCTTTCTCTCTCTCCCTCCCACTCTATCTGAACAAAAAAAAAAGAAATAAACCAAAGAACTTACATGTATATATGCATAACCAATGGACACAGACAACAGTGTGGGGAAAGGCAGGAGGGGGGTGGGAATGGGGAAGAGGGGGTTAATGGGGGGGAAATGAGGAACATCTATAATACATTCAACAATAAAGATAAGTTAAAAATAAAATAAATAAAAAATAAAATGTCATATCTTAATTTTGGCAGACTAGCTGCCCTTGAATTCTTTTGAGAACACAGGACATACTACAGATAGGAAGACAGTCTGGCCAACCGTAGAGTCAAGGGAAGGGGAGGGGAAGAGGAAGGCAGGGAATTCTGCCTCATGCTGCAAACGCCCACAAGAAATGTCATTAATGGCATATTCTTATTACAGAAATTCCCCAGATTGGCCAAAGGACTACTTTTTTGGTTTCCGGATCAAAAATCACAGGCACCCTTTGTACATCAAGGTAAGTGCATGCGTGGCACATGGCTAAGAAACTACTGTCAGCCCAGCATGCCCTCATCAAGATATACTTTTGGCCTGCTATAACCTCTAATGACAGTTGCACAGAAGACCAACAGACCCAGTAGACAGAAACAGAATGGATTTAAATCTGTCAAAACTGTACTCTGAAACTCTTAAACTGTGTTTTTTCCCTCTACAAGATAGATTCCAAATGCATTTAGTCTTTGAATCACCACAACCTTTATCATTTCCCTATCTTCTCTGTTAAGCTGCAGAGTTCTTAAAGCTGTAAGAAAAGTATACTTCTACTTCAGTATACAGTGTGGTACCAAGACAAGTTCCAGGTGAGGAGGGTCTTCCTAAAGGGATATAAGCTCCACTAGTTGGGAGGAGCTCTCCAGAGCAGGAGCCACAGAGAGTGCCTCAAGGGCAGGAGAGCAGACCTTCCGTTCAGACAGATGGTAACTCATTTTTTTTTTTTAATGTTTTTATTTTTTTTTTTTTTTTTCATTTTTGGTGTCTCATCTTTTGTTGTCTCCTCTCATTTCTCGTCCCTAAATAAGTTTGGGGACATGTGTCCCAGTATGTCGAAATGCATTTATGAATCTTTAAGTGACAAAGAATAAAGAAATACTGATCTAAATGATTCAAAAGGCAGTCTTTTTGCTGACTAAAGAACCAAATTCAGAATTTCCCAAATTGCAGTCGTGAAACTATCAACTTCACAATTATTCCTCCTTTCATGTAAACAGTATAGGTTTCCATTTTAAGATTTCCTAGTAGCAAAATACCCAAAGTCACAATTCTAATCCAAGAAAACTCAAAGCCTCTCACTCACTTACACAGTGATGTGGTTACAAGGATAGATATTTTTGCTACTGTGTGGGCTCAAATTCCAGCTGTCATTTACCAGCTAGGTGACCCTGGGCAAGTTACTTAAGATAAGTACGTCAGTTCCTTATGTACCTCCTAATTTAAGCTCTGAGAACAGTATGTAACACTTACTGTGATAGTAATAACTATAGTACTGACTATTACTATTATTACATCATCCATCAGATTTGCTAGGAGCCTTTCAACTGAACCTCTCCTAGAACAAGAGTGTCACCTCTAAAGCATTCCAAATATTTTCCAATTTGAAAAGACAGTATAAGTAAAAAATGTTTCTTACATCTTAAAAAACCATTTTAATATGTTGGGATCTTTCAGCTAACAGTGGTTTTCAAGAGGTTGTATGCTCATCAAGCAAAGTTTTGAAATTGAAACTGTTCCCTCCATCTTTCAAGAGGAAAAGGAAAGGAAGAGATGATTTGGGATGTGTTTCTGGTTTGTTTTTCAAAGTAGCTTTGACAGGTCATTAACTCAAACTAGTCTTAAATACATCTGCAGAGTATTTAACATGTGAAATGCTCTGCCTTACAGTTCGAGTATAGACTGTTATAGACAATTAAAAAGCACTTTCCTATTATGTAACTTCTACATTTGAATCTCAAAAGTGTTACCCTTTTTCTCTATTTCCTACGTTTATAATATTCCATTACTTTTTAATAATGTAGGAATATTAATTAAAATTATTATAGGTTTCTCCAGCATGAGGCATGGGGGAGAACATGAAATGGACACAATCCTGGTTTTCTGGCAACTTGTGTAAACATACTGTTTTTTGATGGTAGCAGATTTACTGTACCTTATTACTGATATTACCCATTTGTTGATTTGGGGAAAGTGTATAATTCTCCCAAAAGCAGATGGCCAATCTACTGTAGAAAGCTGTTTTCAGACACAAGCAACTACCAACAGAGAAGTAAATTCTCAATAGTCAGAACAAGCCCCTTTGAACTCATGTAGTGCTCATTATCGATGTCATAAATAAAACAATAAAAGCAAATGATCCCTTGAAAAGTCTTAGCAACTCAAGATAAAAAGATCTACCATAATAACTGAGTTGGATAGAAGGAATTTGGCAAGAGCAAATGGGTAGAGAGCCTCAAAAGTAAATAATTTTGTTGGGATGCAAAAATATTCTAAAAATGAGAGTGATTTTCTTTGAGAATGTAATATAATCAAAAATATTAAAAACATTTTTAAATCCACACAAATGAATTTTAAAACAGGAATATCTATTAAGTATACACGTTTTGGGAACTTCAGAATCGCAAAATATATTCCTGATTAGCAACACTCAAGTTTCCAGCTGCCCTTACATTTGTTCACTTTGTCAAAGCCCTAATTCTATACCAAAGCCCTTTGTACTACTCGAATGCCAGCTCAGCTCACCTTACTGGAAAGGCTCTTCTGGTTTTGTCAGCTGTGCCCATGAAAAGCAGCTGGGAAGTATGGAAAAACCATTAACAATTGACTGAAAAAGAGTATGAACGTGGAGTTTCACCATTTGTTGTAGAAGAGGTTATAAAAAATGTAAATCAAAAATGAAATTAAAGAGACTATTCATTGCTCCACACCTGCCGAGAAAAAGCTTTACGATCACCAATCCATGTAAAAAAAAGTGATGGCTCAGCTGAAGAAAGTATTAATCCTTGTTTAAACAAAGAGAAAACAAAAAAACTTGCCAAGGCACAAAAACAAAGGCAAAATCACTCAGAAGCAGGAAGAGAAAGGTCCACTGATGCACTGGGGACAAACCTAAAGATCTCTAAGAGGTCTGTGTTTCTGTGATGTAGTATTTTAAACAAGCAGCAAGCTCAGGGCAGATAGACATCAATCTGGAAGGTAGGCAGGAGAGCTTTTCACAACTTCAAAGCAGAAAAATGTGTTCTCAATTAGTATGCAATTTATAAAAGCCAAATGCAGACTAGGCCACAAATACTTCCCATCTTTAGCTTAAAATTTTCCCTTCTTTAGCAGCACTCAATTGTTGGGCAACAGTGCTACTGTTCCCATTATGTCCTCTACCTACCATACCCACCTCTCCAAGTGGTGGGGCTTTTCACTCATGTTCAGGAGAGCCTTCCTGAACATGAGTGAAAAGCCACACCTCTGGAACTGGCAATAAATTAAATCTGACCAGGCACCAGCAGTCTGGGGTATCTGCTACTATTCAAAAGACAGAGAGCTAGGTTATTTGCTCCGTAAAACCCTCGGAACTGGGCATGATAACCATGGCTAACAGGGTTAAGCACACCCCTCGAACCCTGAAGCACAGGGGCTGAGAGCGGGCTTCCAAAAGAACTGAGATCAGGTATATTGGTGAAACCAACTAAACTACTCTGCCTGGTTATGTGAGACAGTATATGCCATACAGAATATATGCATTCCACCCTGACTGGTTTGGCTCAGCAGTTAGAGAGTGTCGGCCCGCTAACCAAACAGAATATGTGCATTCCACCATGAAATGATGAAGGAGAAAAAGAGCCTTAACATAGATAAAGTGCTATGCACTGGTCTAGATCCTAGGCATACATTATCTCAATTAACAAATGCAACTAAGGCTCAGAAAAATTAAGTAACTTGCCCAGGTCACAAAGGTAGTAAGTGCTAAAAACCAGAATCCAAACCCAAGTCTAACAATAAGGCAAGTGTTATTTCTATCAAATCATGATGTCTTTTATTATTTTTCTCATCGCTATGCTGCCCTGAAGTAACTAAGCTTCCACTGTGGGCATCTATAAAGGTGATTTAAAACTCAAAAGGGAATTGAGCATTTTCCTGACAACCAGACAGCACACAGTGGCTTGGGAAAGCTCCTTTAAACACTAAAATGTTTCTATTTTTACCACTTGTGATGAAAATCTTTCTCAAAATATATAACTGCCTTCTTAAGCAGAATATACCAAACACTACTAACCAGTCAATGGGTTGTACCCTGTCCATGGAGTTCTACCATTTGGGATGGGAGACTGTACTCACCTTAGAGATGCTGGGGGCTGCACAGACCACCCAGTCAAACCCTATGCCTCAGGATCTTCCTCATGAGATTTATCCAAAGTAGAAGGCTAAAGTGTTAAAAATATGAAAAGAAAGCATTTACATGTGGCTTAATGAATCTAATATTCATTTAAGCAGCTTTGGGGACACAAGGGTTCCAACATCCCACCTAAATTCAGTCACTCCAGCATATAATGCCCGCCAAACTGGCCACCAGTCAATCTTAACATTTTCTAAACTCTGTAATCTTATGAATTCAAATTCAAATGTAACATATTAAAGCAACTATTCATAAGGTTTTGTGAGGGTGCATTTTTACCTTTTGTGAACCTACTTTCCTCCCAGCCCAGACTCACAGAGCTACACACACTTTTCACTACTATACTTGTTCTAAAAACGTTTAATCAATTTGGAAGATATCAATCAAGATCGGAGATTCTCTGTTTTAGCAACATGTTAACACTGTAAATCTGATCCTTACCTGGCAAATTGTTTTAAGTCATTAAAGTAATAGTTTCCTCAAAAATATCACTGACTGTAGCATCATTTTTTCATTTTTCTAAGATGATGTATTAAACCAAACCCAAAAGGTATTAGCATGTATAAGAAAAAAATGTTTTCACATCATTAGGTACCAGATTAAAATAAGAACTTTTAAAGTAATACTGTTACACTAGAATCATCAATCTTTCCAGGCTTTCATTCACTCAAAACAAGATCAAGACTTCAATTATGACTACAACCTGCTGCTGGAGTGAAAAGAAAGCCAGCCAGCCACACCATCCTCCACTTCCATCACCTGCCTTTCATTCTTCTCCCACTTCCCTAAGTTGATGGTGTAGCTCCACACTGCCCAGATCTTTGACCTAGTGGGGAAGAAACTGCTGCTTATCAGCTGCCTAGTCTTTCTGATGACTGTAGTTATTTTAGCACTATGCCTAAAACTTAAAAGAAAAAATAATCCTAAATAGAAACAAAACACAGGGTGTGTGAAACTTAAAAAATAAATAAACAGGACAGCCCAGCTGGTGTGGCTCAGAGGTTGAGCACTGACCCATGCACCAAGAGGTCGCTGGTTTGATTCCTGTCAGGGCACATGCCCAGGTTGTGGGCCAAACCCCAGTGGGGGGTATGCAGGCGGCGGCCAATGGATGTTCTCTCTCATCAATGTTTCTATCTCTCTCTCCCTCTCCCTTCCTCTCTCTAAAATCAATAAAGAAAAAAATGTTTAAATTGATAAAATAAATAGAATAAACTTATTTTTAAATAGTATGCAAGTTGCATTTTCAAATAATGTGTTCAATCAATAAGCACATTATCTTCCCTATGTCCAGACTTTTTGGACACACTGTATTTACTACACTTCCTTCAGATTAAGAACTAGATCCACTGCGTTGAATTTAAAGTAACGTCACCCGGAAAGATGTTTGGAGGTTAAATAAAATTATTTTAAGCATGTTCAAGTAAAATTGAAATGCTACTTAAAAATAAGTCTATGTTACATTTCCTGACTTTTTAGATATCCTGTCTTTGAATTCAATGCAATAGCTCCCTTAATTTCCTACCCACCTCCTCACTCATCCCCAAACACCAAATTTCTTTCTACAAAGAAGGCATCAAGACTTTACTGCTTATGGTGTAGTACTATAGAGGAAACTAAAAAACTGCTAAAGAAAGAGAGAATTGGCTCCACCAGTGTCCAGTTAATGCTGTCACTGACTGCTGTGTAACTATAAGCAAATACCTAATCATAAACTCATCTCTTGAAATTATGTATGTTGATGAGAGTGCCAAAAGCAAGGGCAGTAGGGTAATTGCATGATTCCTCTGCAAACATATCAGAGAAAAGTTGAACTGGAAAGGATTGTCTCTTTCTGCTCCAAAATAGAAAAGATGTGTATTCTGGCTATTTTATCACCAAATGATTGATAGCTATGTGTAGAAAGAGGGGGAATTTGCATAAGAGAGCACAGAGGACCAACCACCAGCAGCCACACTTGTCTATCAGATAAACATGATGCTACTTGGTCTTGGTTGCATTCATCTCAAACAGACAAGCTTTGGCCTGCATTCCAATTCTCATTTTCCTAGCATATCTGTATCATTCTACTTTCTATCTTTTAACAAAGAACAAAAAGTTGATCAGGTGAACCTTTACTAGTATAACACATGTTATTTAGGTATAACCAACTTCATCTGATACAGCAAGAAAGATATCTACATTCCACTATTACATGAAAAGCCCTAGTAAATTTTACATTTGTTTTGAACGGATTATATTACATTTAACCTCACAGGAAACTACATAATGCACTGTAACGGAGGGATCTATTCACTTCACACTGCAGAAATGTCTCAATTACTACAGAGAAAAAGCCCTTCATGGCATTCAAAACCTGACTATATAGAATTCCAGCTGAACAACAGGGGAAAAAATATATCACTCCAGTGATCAAAGAGGTAATACACTGCATGCTAGTTTTCCACAGGCAGGAGGCCACATGTCACAGCCTAAAACAACACAGACTGCAGACAACTGCTTGTCATGAGGCATGTGTGTGCTTTCCCTCATACTTTGAGATGAAGCCATGACGTGCACCACAATGTTAGTTACTTTGAGCTCTTTGTGCAGGACATGTGTACCTTACTTTAAGTAAATTTAATTTTGTCATATGCAAAAGGAAAATTTAGAGATAATTTTCACTTTTTAAAATAATTTGCAATGATATTCTTTAAAAATAAGTCCTAGAATGATTCATCCTACAAATATATATATTACATGCTATAAGAAACAGTAAGTGTTTCCAAACACATGAAGGAGTTCATGCTTGCAATGACAATTCGAAACTATGGGTTGGTAATTGCTGGCACAAAAATCAGAAAGCAAAAGTCATTGCTGAAGACTCAATGGTCAGTGCACCAGAGTATTATCTCCCTGGGCTCCAGTCAATATTTCCCAATAAACAAATATTTCCTGAATACCTACTGTGTGCAAGACAATCCTACCTGGTTCAGCATTTCCTGCACTTCCACCTCCTGACTTGACACTCGGAAAGGACTGCCAGACTATATAGAAGATGCTGACCCTGATGCTAATACACTCAATACCCTCATTTTTATCAAGATTCGAAGTCCTAAGAACTGTTAATGGACATTACAGTACTTACTAGTATTTTCTTTAAAAACTAGATTTAAACATGGAGAGAAAACCATCCTATAGATGCTAATTGTTAGGAACATTTTCTAGAGCTATACTACTACAGTGATACCTCGGTGCTCGAACATAATTCGTTCCAGGAGGACGGTCGAGAACCAAATTGTTCGAGAACCGAAGCAATGAAACCCAATAGGAAATAATGGAAACTAGATTAATTCGTTCCAAGCCCCAGAAAATGCCTATTTACTGGCCTAATTTGTATATAATATGTAGAAAAACATAAGTCTCAACAAGAAATAAAAGTGTACAGTATGTCTAAGGGTTAAATTCAGTGTAAAGCGTGACTCTCTCCACAAAGCGTGACTCTCTCTCTGCACTCACACTGATGACGCAAGCAAGGCGCGCTGGGCCGAATGAACGCCATTCGGCTCAACTCGGCTCATCTCGGAAGTTCGAGTTCCAAATATTTGTTCGGATTCCAAGACAAAAGTTTCTCGAATCTCCTGGTCGAATACCAATTTGGTCGAAAGTCAAGGCGTTCGAGAACCGAGGTATCACTGTATAAGAGAGTACTTAACTACTGCTGACTGTCCAAATTCTGAGAATTATTTAAAACTATACAAAATGAGGATAGTGATAAACAGAACAAAATAGTTCCAAGGCTATTCAAAGTCATAAATAGGCAAAGCCATTTCCCCATCTTAAATATCACACAAACAGGCTTAACATTTTGTTTACTGTCTATCAGATGTAACTTGGCATTTGCATTGCTAATAGTCCTTTTTTAGTTCCTCTTGAATAGCAATAACCGGATCTCCTACCTACACCAGGAGCGGGACATGCTAATAACGTCAAGTTATAGATACACATGCTTTTATGTTCAGTGTATCACCAGAGAAGAAAAGTTTTAGGAGGGGGTATTTATTGTCTTGGAAAGACATTGGATATAGGAAGATTTATCCTGCTTTGTTTTCCCTTGATATTCTATAAAAGGTGGGTTCAAATACAATTTATCCCTGATGAAAGGCATCCCTCACAAGGCAAAAACTAATGGAAATAAAAAATCACTTAAAAAGCCATTCTTCTGCTATGCACTCGAAAAAAAAAAAGGCTTCAGTTTTTTGTGGTATCAAATTCTTTGTCTTCATATAGTTATCAACTCAAAACTAGTCAAAGGACCCTCCGGAAAAATGAAACTGTAAAAGGCAATGGATTACTCGACCACAAGTAAATTCCTACAGTTTTAAGATGACAGTCTACTTCTGTGCAGTTGTTTAGACAATAAAGATTTAAAAGGAAAAAGAAGCAATAAAACACACTTCACAAATCCAAAAGATTGTTCCCAAGACAGAAAAAGAATTCCCTTCACAAGGTCTAGCCCAAGAAATTTCAGTAAGAAACAAAACCACTTCTGTACCGATAAACTGAATATACAGACTTTGTTAACTCCCATACTGTTATTTACCTTTCTATTTCTTGTTTAATTTTTATGATGGTTTAAAACTTTTAAAAATTTGAAAGGGTCGGACCGATGTGGCTCGGTGGATGAGCGTCTATCCACGCACCAAGAGGTCACTGGTTCGATTACCAGTCAGGATACGTGCCCGGGTTGTGGCCCAATTCCCAGTGGGGGACATGCAGAAGGCAGCCAATCGATATTTACTCCATCGATGTTTCTATCTGTCTCTCCCTCTCACTTCCTCTCTCTCTAAAATCAATAAAAGAAAAAAAAACTTTGAAAGAAAATGCCTGCCCTTATCTCTCTCAAGGCAACTTAAGGTTATCATTTTCTTGTGAATCCTTCCCAAGGATGTTGTATGAATATACAAGCAGCATATAAATGCTTGTATATTTATTCTCCTTTCTACTCAAATGATAGCATGACACACTATTCTACATCTTTTTTTCATTTAACAAATATTTATATCATTCCATATCAGTACAGTTTCCTCATTCTGTTTTACAACTGCAGAGTATTCCATTATGTGAATGGACCATAATTTTTTAACCAGTCTTCCATAATGAACAGTTAGGTTGTTTCCAGTATTTTGCTACTATAAACAATGCTTCAATAAACTAATTCATTTCAATTTAGCATAAGATAAATACCTGGATGCATACCTCTTGAGTCAAAAAGGTTTGTGCAATTATAATTCTAATGGAGGCTGTCAAATTACCCTCCATAAAGAATGTCCCAGTTGATATTCCCACCAACAATGTACAAGTGCCTATCCACACCCAGACTAACAACGTGTTCAATTTTTGCTTTTTACCAAAGTGATAACTTTTTAAAAAATGGCATCTGGTATGGTTTTAATTTGCATGCTCTTATAAAGTGAGTACCTTTAGATTCAGAGTTAACCATATCTCATTTCTGTGAAATCTCCATAAATAACCTTTACCCATTGTCCTACTGAATTGTTAGTGCTTTTTCTTGATTTGTAGCATTTTTTAGACATTAAGGAAATTTGTCCATTTGTACATGTTTTTGTAACCTGTCTTTTGACTTTGCCTGTGTGTGGTTTGGGGGGAGTATGCAAGAACTTTTATTTTTTATAAAGTCTAATTTATAAATCCTGTTCTTTAATTGCTTCAGAGTTTACATCAACCTTGGAAAAAACCTCCATTCTAAATTACAAAAAAATTTCTCTCTGATTTAATTCTATTTGTTATGACTTTGCTTTTTAAATTTAAAGTTGATCCATTTAAAATTCATTCCAGTGAAAGTATAAATTATAGATGCAACTTTATTTTTTTCAGCTGGCTCCCCAGTTATCCCAACACCATTTACTAAATAAATTTCACTGATTTCAGATGCCAATTTTATTATGTCCTGTGTGTTTTAGGGTCTCTTTCCACTTTTTTTTTTCTTTTCATTTAACTCTAGGTCTGTACACATACCTTCATCACATAGTTTTAATTAATGTAGCTTAATAATATCTTGTAAGGCTGGTCCCACTTCTCATTACTTTTCTTTTTCACAATGTTCCTGACCAGCAATTTTGTTCCACTGAGTATGAATGGTATTAATTCATGACTTAGGATAGAGCATTCAAATTTTGTATTAGATGTTTCCAATCACAAAATAATGGTCTTCCTCACCGGTAATAATGGTGTTTGGCATTAACTTCATTCCTACAGACAAAAGGGTTATATGAAAAATGTATAAATGCCAGAAGTAGTTAAAATAGCAAATTCACTGATTTTATCCATAAATTAAATATAAATAAGAAATAAGTCCATGGTCACCATATGCTTTCTTAAAATGGAAGCTAAAAACACAGGAGTAAAGAATTAAAAAAAGACAGATGATCCAGACCAGGTTCTAAGCAACCTTTTCTTTTAAACATATCACTCCTATCATAATGGTTTGTTTTATGGACTGTTTCCTAATTTCCTATTCAAGTGACACACCAAAATGGAAAATCATGTCCATTCTACCCCAAAATTTCTACAGAATTGTTACCACATGTATAGAATCTTTTATCACCATGTAGATGGAAGTAAAAGAAATGATGGGATGGGAGCAAAAAGTAGAAACAATATTTCACATCACTATTTACAATTTACAAACATGTTAACATATACTATCTCTCTGAATATACATGCATAAACTGGGCTGCCTACATGTAAATAAAGAAAACATAAAAGAACAATAGTTTTTACAAGCAATATTTAAAAACCAAAATATTCATTTCTACTACATTCTGTAATTTAAATGCTACATTATCTTAGCTAGCAAATGAGAGAAACATCCTCTCTATTAAAGGATGAGGGAGGAAGATATGACATTAAAAATGTAGGCAGGGCCAGATAATGAAGAGTCTTTGTAGACAATTAAGTAAAAATTTTAGACTTTGGCCTTAAAAGAAATTTTAAATAGGAAAAGAACATGATCATAACTGCTTTTTAAAACTCATGTGTTTACAGTACAGAGGATGGGATAGTGGTAGTGTGGGGCAAGTGGAGATAGCAAAAAGTTATAGCAGTGAACCAGACCAATGATGGTTGGACTTAGAGTAGTAGCAGTACTGATGAAGAAAGGATTTGTTTAAGAGATATTGAGGTGGTAGAAATGGTAACACACTGATTATTTTCTGGCTTGAACAACTCAGTAGATGGTGGTACCCTGGTTACAGAACAAGAAGATTATAGAGAAAGGAAGGTTTGGAAGAAAAAAAGTAAGTCTGAGGTACAAATGTGACAAGCAAGATATCCAGTGAACTACAGAAATCTAGAACTCAGAAGGAAAGATTTAAAGCTTGTATGTGGAGTTTTGAGAGTAGATTAAAGTAAGAAAGTATCTAGAAAAGTGGGTAGAAGAAGGTGACCCCACAAAGAAGATGAGTTACCAAAGAGGTAAGAGAAAAACTAAGAGAGCCTGGATTTATGAAAGTCAAGTAAAGCCTGTGTTACGAGGAAGAGTGGTCAACTCTGTTGAGTGTTTTTGAGCTGTTAAGTAAGATGAAGCATAAGAAAACCCTACTGCAGAGTCAGTAACACCAGTACCCTAAACAGGTAGAGCTTTAGAAGAGAGATGGAGCAGAGACCAGAATGCAGAAGTTTGAAGAGTGAAGTGGGCAGTGAGAAAATATAGTATAATCACTCTCAAGAAATTTGATTATGAAAAAGAAAATAAAAAACAAAACAGGCCACTGAGAGAAGGAATGGAACGGGAAGGCTCCCATTCCGTCAAAGAAGGATTTTTTTAAGGTGGAAAACATTTCCCCATGTTTATAAATTCTATGTATGCACAATAGTAGTAAGGAAAAGAAAAATTCCTTCCTTTCAATAATGTTCCCAAATTAATAAAGGAAATATACTGAATGATGTTCATTTCTGAAGATGCTCTTATTATGGCAGCGAGAAATCTCTGACATCCATAAATTGAATTTATTTGCTCCTACTCTCTAATAAATTAATTTAAAAATCAAATCTTTTAAAAAATATTTTATGCAAACACAGAAGAGTTCATAAGAGAGATCTGTTTACATTTAAATCATAACAAAACTTCAGGATGTTCACATCGAAATGGAAAATGAAATTCAATTTTTTTTTTTTTTTTGGTACGTGCCCCTAGCGGGAACAGAACCCGGGACTCTGGTCCGCAGGCCGATGCTCCAACCGCTGAGCTCAACCGGCCAGGGCTGAAATTCAAATTTCTTATGCCTAATGTTCAACCAGTAATTTGTAAATTCTGAAATATGCTTTCCCAAAATAATCAGGTTAGGGAGAATAATCTGTGGCTCCAATAGGTCAACTGCTTCTGATTCTGATTCTTCCACAGATTAAAGGTTTCACAGATGCCTTGAAATGAAAGGAAACTGATGATTACATGAATGGTTTGGTTATTTACACCCCTTGAGGCTCACACACAGCACACCTAATGGTTTTGCCTTGAGGCAAAAGACTGAACAGATTGCCCTCCTAATTGCTCTCTAGACACTCTGTACACAAAGCCATGTGATTCTGAGGTACAGATTCCACTATAAAACTCACCTTAAAAAAAAATTTTTTTAAATAAGTATCTCATGAACTACTTCTGAACAAATAAAATTATTTATAATATCAAAAACCTAACAACACCATGCCAAACACTAGCTAATATACTTAATAAATCCTGACCCGATTCTGAAATAAAAGCAACTTATGTAAAGACATTAACAAATTATTTGAACATAATTATCCCAATATACTTCTGAGCATTTAGTTGTACTACAAATAGAGTGCCAATTTTTAAATTTCAAACGTGAGAAATTTCCTGAGGAATGTGTTATATCTTCATAATAAGCACAGACAACAGGAAAAGTCATCAGTTTTAAAAGACCTTAAAATGTAAAATAAAATCTAGGTGAAGTAAGGAGATAAAATAACTATAAACCAGAAGAAAAATAGAACTGTGTATTAAATCTCTGAAAAGGTGAGGCAAGTTCTCTAAATCTAAAAATCACCATGAAAAAAATTTTGAATTCCTAAAAATAAAAAGCTTGTCCTAATGTCCCAAAATGGCAACTAAAATCTCAGCAAGGTGACAGCACCTGCCCACATTCCCCACTCCTGGAGGCAGATGCAAGGTGTGGCCTGGACCATCTGTCTCCAGAGCTCCTGCTCTCTACCACTATGCCTCCTTTTTTTTTTAACCACCAAGTGAAGAAAAGGATAGGAATAAAATTCACGAAACAGGAAATGTGACAAATAAGCAAATGTATGGGAAAATATTTAACTTCCTGAGTAACCCAAAATTTTCACAATAAAACAACAAGGTAACTTGTTTTTGGCCAACTTTTGGTAACTTGTTAAATTGGCAAAAATATAAAACCATGGTAATATTTAGAGCTGGTAATTGGTGTGTGAAACTGGTAGGCTATTTGGCAGTATGTATAGAGAGCCATAAAAATATCCTTTGGCCCTCTGTTTCCTCTTCTGGAAGTCTATATATACTAAGGGGAAAAATTAAAATATGGGCAGAGTAGAGAAAGGATGCTCAACTGATAATCATTCCAAAAATAAAATCTTGGAGACAACCTCTATGTCCAAAATAAGAGAATGGTCATGTGATATATAATAAATCCATTGGTTTATATACACAGTCATTAAAAATAATCTAAAATGTATGTAACATGAAAATGCTTTCCATAAATGACAAACCAAAAAGAGGAGTTAGATATAAGATTGTGCAGATGATGGAAACCCTTTTCTTAATACACAGGTAAATACAAAAAGGAAAAACACTAAAATTGTGGCTATGGTTGGTTAACATGATAGTATAAAATGATTTTTTCCCACTTTCTTGCAATGTTTCATAACGTAGTTTAATTATATTATTTTAATAAAGCTTTGAAAATAAGTGGTTTACAAAGCATTTGCAAACTTAAAATATAAGAACAGAAATTTTAGTGTTCTCTAATTTTTCCCAAAAGTGAAAATTAATAGTACAATAATAAGGATACCTCAGATAATTTGTGCTATATGATCCAAGTTCTACTGCACAGAAGTTGGAAAACAAAACTGAGAGCTTACTTAGAGCCTAAGAAGTTATTTCATTAGTTATTTTATTTTAAATGCAATTGGAAAGTCATTGGAGTTTTATTGTGGGATGTTTTATTATCTGATTTATTCCACAGCCTCCATTTTCTAGTTTGAAATCTTAAGTGATTTGACTAAGTTCACACAGCTGTTAAATGGCAAAGCAGAAACTACAGTTTGGAGTAAAGGATACTCTCACTGGCCTCTCCTCCCCATGAAAGATCTCCATCAGAGAGCTGACTGACTTGCATCTTATGCAGGCAAGGTGATCAATGGAAAATTATATGATAACATCCAAGACACATGTCCTTTCTTGGGGGCCCGCCAGCAGTAAGAGTTGTTTCATCCACTGACACCCATAATAGAAATAGAAAGCCCACAGTTCTTGACCCAACAGGCAAACTAATAATTAAAAAGGTAAGCTTTCTATTTGAGCCAAAGCCCAGAATTTTAAGAATTTATTTAAAAGTTAGGGGAACACTATAAGGGAAAATCAAAGGCAGACCTCTCAAGGATTTTGTCTCCCCTTCGTTTCTACTATTTACAAAAAACACAACAATATCCCAATATCTAAAATGACACTGATAATTATCCTTATTTTAATAAATGATGACCCCTTTTAAGAATTAATACTTTTTAAATATTTCAACTGAGTAAAACGCTTCTAGAATTTATTAAACATCTTTCTATATTCTTAAATATACAGAATTACTGGTGTGTCTACTATCAATCATTCCTAATCGTCTTTTATATAAAACAGAGTAGCTAATGTGCTTTGAGCTCTTAACCATGAGATGTGCACTGGGTTCTTTACATCCAAGTCTCATTAAATCCTCACAACCACCCTATGATGGAAGTACAAACAACTTTAAGGTCTATTTTATAAATGTGGAAAAGGCACTAAACATTGGTTAACAAATCAGAATGTAACAGAACTGGGATCTGAAGCTAGAAAGACTATTATCTCACACTGTCTCCCTGTGCTCTGCCCATTCTCTTATGGGGGGGTTGGAGGTCATGGGAATGGCATGAACTCAGTGATCTGACTACCTGGGTGAAAATTCTAGCTCTCATTCTTACTGATGCATCTTGGAAGAGCTAGAGAAAATCTGTCTCTCACTTCTCTTAACTATAAAAAGAATGTAAGAGTTGATTTAACCATCCTTGCATCATGGAACTGTTATGAGAAGACAACATCATGCTTAGCAAACAGTGAGTGA